TCCACTGCTCTAGAGTCCAGTGGCGGCGTGCTTTACACCACCGCATCCGACGCTTTGCATTGCACTTGGTGATGTATGGCTTGGATGCAGCTGCTCGACCATGGAAACCCATTCCATGAAGCTCTCTGCGCACTGTTCTTGAGCTAATCTGAAGGCCACATGAAGTTTCGAGGTCTGTAGTGATTGACTCTGCAGAAAGTTGGCGACCTCTTCGCACTATGCGCGTCAGCATCCGCTGACCCCGCTCCGTCAGTTTACGTGGCCTACCACTTCGTGGCTGAGTTGCTGTCGTTCCCAAACACTTCCATTTTCTTATAATACAGCTGACAGTTGACTGTGGAATATTTAGGAGCGAGGAAATTTCACGACTGGATTTGTTGCACAGGTGGCATCCTATCACAGTTCCACGCTGGAATTCACTGAGCTCCTGAGAGCGACCCATTCTTTCACAAATGTTTGTAAAAACAGTCTGCATGCCTAGGTGCTTGAATTTATACACCTGTGGCCATGGAAGTGATTGGAACACCTGATTCCAATAATTTGGATGGGTGAGCAAATACTTTTGGCAATATAGTGTATATCATAATCACCTGAGTTAACACTGATAACAAACAAACAGACCGTTGTTTTTTTCTACAATGTTTAGGTCTCTCAGGCGGCTGCAGAGCTGAAGACGTTCTGTCTGCAAAATGCTCACAAAGACCCGCTGCTGACCGGGGTCCCCTCCAGTGATAACCCATTCAGGCCTCCCAAATCATGTGTTCTGCTTTGAGGTGTGTGCTGCTGAAGATTATTCATCTTCCTAAATGTCTTTATTCTTCTCACATGCTTCTGTGTACTTCCGTATTCCCTAGAGGTCTGATTTAACATTAGATTTCCCCAAACCTGATTAAACTGAGCAGCATTAGCTTCTAATCGACCAGGACTCCTTTTTTATTTAACAGTCATTTGAAGCCTTTTTGCAGATGAAAGGTTTCAGGTTGTATTTCTGACAAACTACATCATGTAAATTATAATTTGCTTTATATTTTTAGGGTTGGGAAGCAGAACGCAGCGACCAAACAGACTCCTGTGGACTTTAACAAGATGTCACTGCTGCTGAAGATAAAGAAGAAGAAGACCTCACCGCCTGCAGCTGATTGTCAGACAGACTTTTAGTCAACGAAAAAAACAATTCAGTAAAAGAAAAAACGTCTGTTCAAACGCTTCTCCAGAATCAATCCCATTTAGATATTGAATAATAAACAATTTTATATCCTATAAGATTGAGATATATTTCAACATGCTAAGCATATTTCTATTTTTCTCTTTTTAAAGGTTGTAGTTTAATTAGCTTTTAAAACACAGCAAAGGCTTCTTTTCTAAAACAAAGTTCCAACTGATTTCTTTTCCAACTTTCTAAAAACATATTTGGGATGTTTTCAGAAAATAAATGTGTTTATTCTAAGCTTTGTAGATTGGTCTCCTAATTGATTGAATCAGTGGTGCTTTTAGACCAAACGTTCCGGGAGGGAGACGTTTTCTTTTTCCAGGGGAAACCGAAGAAACCAAAGACTGAAACATGCTGGTGAAGATTCTATCATCCAGGTCATAGTCATTCCAAAAAAGTTCAAAAACAATCCACCGGACTTTGTTTCCAAGTTTGAAGACGTTTCTCTTCCCATCCAGGAAGCTTTTTCAATTCAAAATGTCAGAAATAGCGCTGAGTTCCAGGTTTTATGCAGTCGCCCAGCAAAGCCTTGTTTTTGCTTAGAAAACATGCAAATTGAAACAGACGAATGGACCCACTCTTTTCCAAAAAGGTGGACATTTTGAAATGAAAAAGCTTCCTGGATGGGACACCACTGAATCCAGAGGGGATGGGTTAAATGCAGGGAGTTAATTTCGTTGCTCTGTACTTGCAATGCTGTATTGATAATAAAAACGCTGGAAAAAAAAACAAACAAATAGTGACACAATAAAACAAAAAATCTTCTCTAAATGTTGATGGACAGTTTTAACTTCGTTTTTTATTAAAATTCAAAATACTTTAAGGTGAGCTTAGACTGAACATTATTCTTCTGGAGTTAATTTCAACAGACATCCAAAGTCTCCCGGAAGTTCCGGGAGTCTCCCTGATATCGATAGTTGTTCACGGATGCTGATTGGATCATACGTTTCTCTGGTTACTCTCTGGCAGTCACCTAGTTACCACTCAAAGCTGTGCATCCTGGGAAACGGCAGTCCGCCCCTTTGGAGTGAAAGAAAAATAATTACTGTTTTCAATTTGAAATAAGCAAAAGAGGCATCTGCGGCTCTGGACAACTAAAAAAATAGCCAATAAAATTATGATCCTCTCTGATCTCTCCAAAAGTAGAACAATTTTTAAATAATTATGAAAATGAAACAGTTAAATCATAAGCTGGACCAAAGGACCAGTTATTGTCTCTGTGCATGTCATTATTAGACATTTATTTAGTTTAATGCAGAGGCCAGGACCAGTTGTTTTTTTTGTTTTTTTTTCTTGTAATTTTAATTAAAAAATGTTTGTTTTTTTTTACTTTTAGAAAATAACTATATATACCTGTCAGAAAATAATTGTTATCAAATATATATCATATTAGCATTGCCCACGTTGCACTATTAAAAGTACGACTCAAACAGTGTTAAAGTGGTGGAAAGATGACCACCTGAGCAGATGGGCCGCGTGAGGAAAGAGTTTTACGGAAAAAAAAAAACATTAAGGGCCCTCTGGAGGTGCTGCAGGGATCCACCGCTAAGAAAAAAAAACCAAATCTGGTCTTTATTGAAGTGCATCAAAAGAAAGCTGGAGGAAATCCTGTCCACAGATGCATTTAAGGATGCAGCAAACATTTTGAAGAACTGCTACAGACAAATTAATCCAAAAATCCATTTGGTGGTTTACAGGAGAAACACTGTGGAAGAAAACAATTCACAACTTCTTGGACACAGCAGCTTTAATGCGAAACAGAGGCAGTGGCATCAGTTTATATAGATTTATTTTCAGGAGGGAAAGGGAAATAGATGAAAGTAAACACAAGGAAGCCTGTTAAAGGCTCAAAAAGCTTCAAAATGGGGCGTCGGTTCAACCAAGGAAACATTCCTAAAATTAGAGCAAGAACTACAATAAATGGTTTAGATGAAAGCATAATAATGTCTAGAAGAATCCGGTTAGAGTCCAGACCTAAATCCCCTAGAATCACAGGCTTATTAATGATCTTTAGAGACACTCTCCATCTAAGCTGACTGAGCTCAAACTCATTTACACAGATTTCAGTTCCTATACTCAAAATAAATGTTGCATAAACAGAAAATATTTTTATAAAGTATTTTGACTCAGGGATACAGAGTATAAATCACATATTTCAGACTTGTCAAACATGTTAAGAACCTGTTTCATTTTTTTCCCACTTTATTATTCACTGGTTTATGAAATTTGAGAATATTCTGATCAAATGCAAAACATGAAAACATTAGATGGTACAAATATGTGCAAAGAACTATTAATGTATAAATACTCTAAACGATTTCTCCCTATCCCTACTTTATTTTAGCACCGACTAAGAACATATATGAACCTACTGTAACGTAAAAGGAATTTGCTTTATGGTTTATAAGATAAAACAGCAGTTGAGCTTCAAGTGTTTGCGCGCAAGAGCAGTAAAATGTTTTCCTGTCCCTTTTCTTCTTGTTTTCCTCTCTATGTTTTGTACTCAGATGACTTTTCATGCTGTCTCTAGAGGAATGAAAGATTTTTTCCAAGCACTAAGCTCACTTAGCTGATTGCTCCTTCCTGTGTTTCCAAAAAGGCCAAAGTAAATAACCCAGTCCTTCTTTTCACTGTAGACAAGCCATGATCTGCTTATCTGTTCTCCATTTTTTATTTGGATGAAATAATAGCTGCATGAATCATGACAGCAGACAAGATAGAGGAGAGCAGGAGGCGGGGTTACCAATCTACTTGCTCTGGAGAGCAGAGTTCGCTGCTTTTAGATGTTGTCTCCAAAGTCTCCAGTAGCAGAAAAAAGTCTCTAGATTTGGCGCTAGGAGCTTTTTAGAAATCAAAGTGCTAGAGGGGTCTGAAAAGTGGCTAAATATAGCGACTAAAGCGCTAAGTTGGCAACACTGCTCTTTCCACCATTTTTTTTAATGGTTTGCTGCTGTCTGTTTGGACCTTTCTGAACATGTGCAGCAAATGGACCGATCCAATATGGTGGACACTGAAGGGGGGGCTGAGACACTCTAAAGATTAAGTGTTCTGATGGCATTTTAGGAATAGTTGTATTAACCATACATGTAAACTAAGTTTTTAGGGGCCCCCCAGGAACTTGGGGCCGTAGGCAACAGCCTATTATTGCCCCAACCATTGCATGTTTTATGCACAGGTGAAAATGATGAAAATTGTGAACGACTCCTAGATGCATCATCAATAATACAAACAGGTGTAGATTTTGCGTTCACAAGTGGAGCAGTACGGCTATCGCCATAGTTTTCTGCTTGATTTATGCATATAAATTGCTTTATTATATTTCATGCAGGGAGTCTTACAGATTATATGGACACTGCAATGTAAGTAGAACAGGAAAGGAAAAACAGAAAAAAAGAGAAACTATGAAAGAAAGAGGAGATAAAACAATAAGTAACACCTAGATACAATTGCTGAGGCCCCCCAGGAACTTTGGGCCCTAGGCGACTGCCTAGTATTGCCCCCACCAGTGTATGTTTTGTTCACATGTGAAAATTGTGAACGACTCCTAGGTCTATCATCAATAATACAAACAGGTGTATTCCTGCAGAATTTGTTGGATATTTTAGATTTTGGAAGTTTCTGACTGAAAAGACAGAAATCTTCGCCGTGTTTGTACAGCCGCAGTCCAGCCGCTAGGAGTCACTGTTGGGGCGCTGCAGATGGCCGCTCTGCCTCCAGCAGCGTGTTTGTACAGCCGCGGTCGGGCCGCTAGGGGGCGCTGCTTGCGGCCGCTCTGCCTCCAGCAGCTTGATTGGCTGTTAGCGCCATCGACCAGCCTCTACTTCCATCGAAGATGGCGGTCTCAGTGTTCCGCGGCGTGCGGCTGCTCTCCATCGGGGACGCCAACGGAGACATACAGCGACATTCAGAGCAGCAGCCGCTGCGACTGGAAGTGAAAACGTCCCAAGATGCGGCCCTCATCAATCTCTCCAATGGTGAGCTGGACGTTGTTTCCCGGAGGAGCTCTCTGGCCGCTCGGCCTGACTGAGCCGCTAATGCTAACGGCTCAGCGGTAGCTTTAGCCGACAGCGAGCTGCTCCAGGTTACACCGCTTTATTGCTCCTTTACTGCTAACGAAACGTCTAGAAAATACTGTTAATGTTTTGTAACTTGCTGAGGATTCTGAAGAACAATAAACTTTATTGTTCTATTGTGAAGTTTGCTGCCGGGGCACCGCGGCTAACAACAAGCAGCGCAGAGCGGTTTAAACACCGCCGCTAAATCATCTTAACTGGAAGTTCAACTAAACAAGCCGCTAGACGCTGAATTTAAACATCAGTAATGTTTGAAACCTTCGGCTTTGTTAGTTTCTATCTGTGTTCCACAGTAGTGCTGGTTTAGATGGGAGGCATGGTCAGGTCCCCATGGGAGCCGGTTGGTAGTTGGCTGAAGGCTGAGCTTCAATTAGCCGCTTTGAATTGTTTCGCAGACCGAGAGGCTTCATCCGGGACCAGCCGCGGGGCTGAGCGGTCCGGGCGGCCCTGCGCCGCAGAGGAGACCCGCTGAAACTTTGAGTTTAATAACGGCTGTTTGGGCGGATTTGGCTGCGTCTCCACCGGGGCCCTCATTACTTATGCATTCATCTTTGTTCTCATTGGGACAATGGCTTAGACCCCCCCCCCCCCCCATCTCCACCGCCTCCTCCTGCATCACAGCCGCTCTGCTCATTTTCCCACTGATAGAGGAACGACAGCATCTCTACTAGAATAATTCTATTCACTTTATTTCTATAGCGCCAATTCACAACACGTCATCTCAAGGTCCATTACAGATCATTCAATTAAATTTATTCAAAGTTTTCCATCTAAGGAAAACAAGTTGATTGCATCGACTCTTCAGCAATCCCTCACCTAAGCATGCTTGTAGCGACAGTGGAGAGGAAAAACTGCCTTTGAACAGGAAGAAACCTCCAGCAGAACCAGGCTCAGTGTGAGCGGCCATCTGCTGAGGCCCACTGGGGTTCAAGAGACAGAAGCAGACATAGAAAAAGAAGCATAGATACAAAAGGCAGCTATCAACCAGCTCCACAGGCGGCCCCGTCCAGGAAACACACAGCCAGGCAGACGAGCTCCGAGCCAGCTCCCATGTCAGAGGACGAAGAGAGCACATCCAGTTAGTCACAGTCAGAGAAACAGGACTACACTGAAAAACAGGCCGATCTCCAACATCTAGAAACAAAGGTGTTGATGGCAGCAGCACAGCTGATATTTCTTTCCAGGATGGAGTCACAGCCAAACAGGAACAGACCAGATGAAGCTACTATGAGAAAAAGCAGAGAGAGCAGAACGTTAGAGATTGAACTAACAGATTCTGCAGAGTGGAAGAATAGAGATAGAATGAAGCAGAATGATGAAAAAGGGGTCCCTATGTCCTCCAGCAGTCTAAGCGTATAGCAGCAGAACTATAGAGATAGATCAGGATAACCTGAGCCACTCTAACTAGAAGCTTTATCAAAAAGGAAAGTTTTAAGTCTAGCCTTAAAAGTAGGCAGGGTGTCTGCCTCATGGACTAAAACTGGTAGTTGGTTCCACAGTAGAGGAGCCTGATAACTAAAAGATCTGCCTCTGCGTTGTGCATCGCAATAATTTGGTCACAATACAACTTTGTAACAATTTGCAATATCAAGATATATTTACAGGTGCTGGTCATAAAATTAGAATATCATGAAAAAGTTGATTGATTTCAGTAATTCCATTTAAAAAGTGAAACTTGTATATTATATTCATACATTACATACAAACTCATATATTTCAGATGTTTATTTTGTTTAATTTTGATGATTACAAATGACAACAAATGAAAATCTCAAATTCATCATATCAGAAAATTAGAATATTGTGAAAAGGTTCAAAATTGATGGCCCCTGGTGCCACACTCTAATCAGCTAATTAACTCAAACCACCTGCAAAAGCCTTTAAATGGTCTTTCAGTCTAGTTCTATAGGCTACACAATCATGGGGAAGACTGCTGACTTGACAGTTGTCCAAAAGACGACCATCGACACCTTGCACAAGGAGGGCAAGACACAAAAGGTCATCGCTAAAGAGGCTGGCTGTTCACAGAGCTCAGTGTCCAAGCACATTAATAGAGAGGCGAAGGGAAGGAAAAGATGTGGTCGAAAAAAGTGTACAAGCAAGAGAGATAACCGCACCCTGGAGAGGATTGTGAAACAAAACCCCTTCAAAAATGTGGGGGAGATTCACAAAGAGTGGACTGCAGCTGGAGTGAGTGCTTCAAGAACCACCACACACAGACGTATGAAAGACATGGGTTTCTGCTGTCGCATTCCTTGTGTCAAGCCACTCTTGAACCACAGACAGCGTCAGAAGCGTCTTGCCTGGGCTAAAGAGAAACAGGACTGGACTGCTGGTGAGTGGTCCAAAGTCATGTTCTCTGATGAAAGTAAATTTTGCATTTCCTTTGGAAATCAAGGTCCCAGAGTCTGGAGGAAAAGAAGAGAGGCACTTCATCCACGTTGCTTGAAGTCCAGTGTAAAGTTTCCACAGTCAGTGATGGTTTGGGGTGCCATGTCATCTGCTGGTGTTGGTCCATTGTGTTTTCTGAGGTCCAGGGTCAACGCAGCCACATACCAGGAAGTTTTAGAGCACTTCATGCTTCCTGCAGCTGACCAACTTTTTGGAGATGCAGATTTCATTTTCCAACAGGACTTGGCACCTGCACACAGTGCCAAAGCTACCAGTACCTGGTTGAAGGACCATGGTATCCCTGTTCTTAATTGGCCAGCAAACTCTCCTGACCTTAACCCCATAGAAAATCTATGGGGTATTGTGAAGAAGAAGATGCAATACACCAGACCCAACAATTCAGAAGAGCTAAAAGCCACTATTAGAGCAACCTGGGCTATCATAACACCTGAGCAGTGCCACAGACTGATCGACTCCATGCCACGCCGCATTGCTGCAGTAATACAGGCCAAAGGAGGCCCAACTAAATACTGAGTGCTGTACATGCTCATACTTTTCATGTTCATACTTTTCAGTTGGCCAACATTTCTATAAATCCTTTGTTTTTATTGGTCTTCAGTAATATTCTAATTTTCTGATATGATGAATTTGAGATTTTCATTTGTTGTCATTTGTAATCATCAAAATTAAACAAAATAAACATCTGAAATATATGAGTTTGTATGTAATGTATGAATATAATATACAAGTTTCACTTTTTAAATGGAATTACTGAAATCAATCTACTTTTTCATGATATTCTAATTTTATGACCAGCACCTGTAGTTTAACTACTCAGCTAATATTAAAATTAAACAAAAAGCAAATGCTGTGTATTTAGTAGAAGATATTCATCATTCTGTTATTTTTGTAGCCATGTTGTTTGGGGTTGGATTCACTTTGCATCTTCTACTGTGATTGCCTCTACTACATGCACAGCAAAAGGGCTCCAAGGGCCCATCTACTGGAGCAGGGGTGCAGAAATAGTTCAAAATCCCCCATTGTTTTAGAGAAAAAATATTTAAAGAATAAAACTGATATTAGAAACTTAAGGATCGAAATTATATTGAGATGCCAAAAGTCTCAATATATTGCCAAATCGTTTCCCACAGCCCCATACAAGAACACATAAAAGCCATTGTAATCATACCTGTAAGGATGAGTTTAAATATATTGGAGTTGGTTGATAAAAATATATGAAAATTAAATATTAAATAGAGAAAAGTCAGTACACCCAGTTTCGGTGTAAAAAGTTTAAAATCTTTCTGATATTGGATTTTATTTTTTGATACTATAAACTTTCTGTGTCTGTTTATTTGGTCTAAACTGGATATAATATTCACAATAAACCTACTAAAACAAATAGTGTCAGGTTACATGTGTAAATCAGCTGAACTTTGTTGCATAACTTTCCATCCCCATGAGCCTCACATTTTAATGTGTGATAGTTTCACTTTTTAAACACTTAATTTTACAGCAGAATATTACACTTTATTTACAGCTTTATGCTCTGAATTATTTACTTATATATATATTTTTTTATTATCTTTTTTTATTCCCCTTTGTACTAATGTTTCCTGAGGCACTGAACCTTTTCTTATGTCTCTTTTTTGGTTTTCCATCAGTTGCTCTTTGATTTCTAATGAAATTTGTTTGTGGAAAAAAACTTTTTTCAGGAACTTTTTAATTTGATTTGGAAAACATGCAGTTTCTTCTTTAGTGGGATTTTACAACTTGCTCTCTGGAGACGATGTGCAGGTTTATCACTAAAGGTCTGAGAGTTTGTTTAATCTAAAATGATTTGACAGTTAATGGGCCGACAGTAAGCTGCTTTCTGAGGTGGGCAACAACCAGTCTTATTTAATCACCATTCTATCACCAGTGAATCTTTTCCTCCTTTTTTCACCTGGTTATTTCTGTTGACGGTGGCTGCTCTGGGACCTGTTCTGGGTCGGGTTCAATAAGCAGAATGAACGGACTACTGAGTGAAGAGGAATTGGGAACAAATAAAAATAAGACACTATAAAATCATTTCACCTGATTAGCCAAACTTTTTAATTCAATGATCATCTTGTTCCAATAAAGCTGAAAGCTGAAGCCATTATTGCATCGTATTATTTAGGGATGCAAATAACGGTTATTTTGCAAATCCATTAATGTGTACATTATATTTTTTCGTTTCCTGGATTAATAATCATATAGCCAAAGGTTCCTTAAAGAAGACATCTTTTGAAATTAAACCAGGTGAAACTAAAACCTCTGGATAGAGCATATTGACAGATGATACTTTTTTTTATTTTAAATGCAAAATGTTTACTTTTTTAAAAACTATTTTGGCATAATTCCTGCTCTAAGTGGGTTGGTCTATAAGCTAAAGGCCGTTTTAAAGTCTTTATACTCCGGTTAACGATTATTGATTACTGAATTACAATTATTTCAATCGAATAATTGTTTAAGCCCTAATATTAATT